TGAAGAGTATCCGGAAGCTACAGCTGGTCCAGAATGCAGCCATGTGGGCTATTTTGGGAGCCGCAAGAAGGGCCCATGTAACACCGTTGCTCCGCGAGCTGCATCGGGTACCAGTTTGCTTCCGGGTCCAATTCAAGGCGCTGGGTATCACCTTTAAAGCCCTACATGGCATGGGACCGGGTTACCTGAGGGACCCCCTCTTCCCCATGACTTCAACCCGTCCCACCCGATCACACAAAGAGGGCATGCTTTGGACCCCCTCAGTAAAAGAACTCCAATTAGCAGGGTCCAGAAGGTGGGCCTTCTCTGCGGTAGCCCCCGCTCTTTGGAACATTCTGCCCCTGGAGGTGAGATTGACCCCTTCACTCCTGGCCTTCTGGAGGGATCTGAGGACCTGGCTCTGCCACTTGGCCTGGGGTGGGGAGGGAAGACCCCAAGCGTGGGGATGGCTAGCCCCTTAGAGGCCTGTCATCTGCAGCTCTGGAACCATCAGCTTCTTGGACTTTCTCTTTTCTTCCAGTAATGCTTCGCATAGTTTTCTTCTTTTATGTAATTTTATATATATTTATTGTTTTAACGGATTTTGTGAACCACCCAGAGTCCCCCATTAGGGGGAGATGGGCAGAGATAAATCTAATAAACAAACAAACATGGTTAAGCAGGTCACTGAAAGACCTACCCGCTGCATGTGCACAAATTCCTAAACTTGGCTAGTGTTAACTTTGATTAGGTTTTGCACTGGCTTAATATGTTGTACAAACCTAGCGTATTCGATAAGCCTATGATTTGATATGCTGTGCAGTTAGAGAACATGGATTCATTAGAGTAATTGTTATGAAAACACTGTAATGGACTCCTAATTTAATCCTCATTTAAGTTAAATTGTAATTGCCTTCATAAAGAATATGTGGGTAACAGCAAAAATGCACATCATTTTTTCACCTAGTTCCTCCTTTCTGGGACTGGCTATGCCTTGAACTGTGTTTGGAGTCGGATGGCTGAAAACTGGGTAGATGTACAATCTGTCCCTGAGATTGTACATCTCATTGTACAAGACCTCGGGCGAGAGGGCTGACACTTTGCAAAATGTGACAATCTTCCTGGGGGGCCTGCAGGGGAATAAACAAAGTCAAGTTGATCACAACCATGCGATTGAAGACCACCCATGAAAGGGGGAGGTGCTTCAGTTGCACAGTTAAGACTGCCATCTTGATGTTGTTGACCCCGTGCCTATGGGCACCCCTGCAAACTTGCAAGATTTTGATCCTTTCAGGGCAACCTGAAACACAATTGTTTCATGGATGGCAGAGCGATTTAGTTGGCTTTCGTGCCAAGAAAACCAACCAATTGGATCCAGTTTTCACCATGGTTTATTCCGATGAAATAAACTCTAACAGCTATAATGCCATTTTTCCAGCACGATTCCAGTTATCTGACTCGGTCGGGCTTAGGAAATCTGCCTGTCATAGAGGATTTCTGAGACTCCAGCAACTTCAAAGATGACCCGAGTTGTCGCGTCAGGTTCTGCTTGTCGATCTCTTCCAACATCCTCTGGTAATGGCTGTATTCCTTCTTCCACCGGAACGTCTTTTTCTGCTGGTCGTGGATAAATCTCTTTTTCATCTGGTCAAACAGATTCTCAACCTTTCTTTTGCTTTCTTCAATGTGCCTTACCTGGAAAAGATCACCCAGGAAGGAAGCAATTGCAGAACAGAAGCTGGCAAACTTGGCCTCGTAGCCTTTCATGTGCCCCCCACCCCTGCAGGGCAGACAAATGTAGCCAGGTGTTTCTGCTCTCCAGATGGTACGCAGCAGTTCAGCACTGCATTCACACATTCAAGTGGTTTGTTTAGCTTCAAAATCCAGGTCACCATTACAAAGCAGCAAATCTTTTCTGCTCTCCAGATCAGCGGTTCTCAATCTTGGCAACTTTAAGATGAGTGGGCCGGAACACCCCAAACATTCCCCACCCACAATTCTTGCTGGGCGGGGGGGTCGATTGGCTTTGCGACTCGGCACT